AATCAGTGTAGTGGTTAATTAGAACCAGATCCAGATTTCCAGTGGAGTCAGTATAGTGCCTGATGCTGCAGATGATCTTCTCACATAAGCTATTACATTGACTTTATTAGGTGGAATTGCTTTAGTAAGGCTTATTTGTAAGTGCTGTTAGATCAGATGTGCTGCCAATTACTTCTGAACCTAGTTCATCTGAAATCCACGAGAGAGATGCTCCAGATCTAACAACTTAACAACTTCCCACTAACGCAGAAACAGATCATTATCTAAAGAAAGCGACCCTCAACTTTGCTGGGCATCAGCAGCTTGCTTGCATATTCTTGAACGAATGGTTTACATCAGCACTTCCCAATGCATAGTTTTCTCTCAGTAAGGTCATTGGTACTGATAAGTAAGAGCAGAAAATAAATTGAAATAAACCTGGTAAGTGAAGACTGTTAGTCACTTTTTTATGATATAATATATTATTAAGAGGAAATAACTAAAAATTCAGTGCAACATGATGCCTCGGTTACTTAAGGTTTTCTGACAATATCTTTAGGAGTCTCTTTTATCATCTTCTTCTCATACATAATATTTATTGGAAATAAATATCAGAGGCACAGAAAACAAGTAATGTGCTGCATTTATAGGAAAGATTGATAGAATGGGCAGTTGCCTGAGTTCTGTGCCTGTTTCTAGTCTGTGCCTACTTGTAAAATCCAGCTGTGCTTTTCTTCAAATCAAAATGTATTACTAGCCAACATTTTAGGGAAAAAAAAATATATTTTGAAAGGCTGAACATTTCTGAGAGCACCTCTTGACAGAAATTTGGCAGTACCTCACTGCTGACCTCAGTCCTTTTGCTGTAGGGGCTTTGCTATTTTCTAGCTATATGACTAACAGGTTCATGTATATTCACAGACATGAGGTAGACGCGTTTATAACAACATGAATGTCATTGCCCCACCTACCTATCTAACTTTTACTCCCTGTATTTTTATTGGAGGTGTTTTTTTTAGGGAAAGTGTTCTCCATCTTCTCTATATCCATACTGACTAGAGAGCATCCAGAAGCATATAAAGTGGTCCAAGTTATAATGGCTATAGCATTCTTGTGCTCCATACTCTGTGACCATGAAAGATCCAGCTTCATTATTACACAGCATCCAGCACCTTCTGATAGTTTCATCTTCTTTAATCCTGGTGTCTCTGCCACTTAGCAACAGCTAACTATTTTATTGAAGCCTACAGTTTCAGAAGATGGCATGGAAATTTCGGTGGGCATATTTCCACTTCAAGAACAAGGGTACACAGGAAGGAAAAAAGAAGGCAGAGATCTGTTCAAAACAAATTCTTTCAGGAAAAGTAGAAC